GCGCTGGCCGAAACAGCCGCGCTGGCGAGTGTGGAGCACCTCCGCCCGGGAATTTCCTAGTCTGTGGGCAATAAAAACGTGGCGTCCACTCACCCTCTGCGCTTTCACTGGGAGCTGCAATCCTGAGCTGTTCCTAAACGGCCATCTTGGATCGTCCCTCCAAACCTTGTATTTATATTTGTTTGTACTTGACTGCCAATTTAGGACCCCTTAACAGTCAATTTTCAATGATTTTAGCAGCTAGCATTGCCATTTGGCAAAAGCTGTTCCATTCAATTTGGCAATAGTAGGATCTGGAACAATTTTCTTGTTTTGAAAATCTGAGCTACATAATATGTCACCAATTATAGTATCTTTGAAGTAGCACCAAAATTCTCTCCTATGAACTGTTGCAATCAGCTTAGAGGCTATCTGTATAATAAAACGACAGTCAATATTACAGTTTTCTTTCTAATTTCTTTATTAACTTTATTGTACTAATTTGCCTTCCAGCTACGGGGCTGATTTATTAATCTAATTTGCTCTGTCTATGGAATTTATTTAAAGTTAGCAAAGTATTAGGAAACTAACTTGTTGGTGCTTAAATCTTCCTTCTCGAAATGTGGTCAAAAATGACGGCTTGTATGTAGAGTTCCGTTGGAACAGGGATTCTAGTAGAGTTGTCACCTGGCTGCACCTGAAGTACATAAATTACATTGTTAGTCCAGACTATGCAAATAATTGGCCTTACTTTTTCTTTTTAATTTCTTCTTCTTCTTCTTATTTTTTGCTTTATATTATAGAAAACAAAACTAGCAAGGCTATTTCCATGGAGATAGATACATGTCCCCCACCGCCCACTGCCCCAGTCTTTTTCTCAGGAGTGGTGATAATTCCAATTAGGAGCTCTGAGGCCCGGGGTTGTGATGTTACTGAAAATGCCCAGGATTAAAGCAGTGTCACAGGCTCATGCTTGTCTAGACTCTACTGAACTCCATGAGTCACTTACTGCAGAAGGGATTTACAAACACATGTGACTTCAGGGTAATAATACAAAAAGAATCCTATCTTGATTCAAGTTTGTCATATAATATATCTGAAGTTTGGGATTGGTTCAGACCAGTGGATGTACCTGTCCATGGTGAGTTTCACATAAAGCATCTTTCTCATCACTTCAAAAACTATTTGATCTGCTTTTATTTTTTTCCTTCAAATTATAAGGGTTTAAAAGGATTTCATCATTTAAAAAAAATTCAGGATAGCTTATCATGCTAATAGGCTTCTAGAAAGCCTCTATGGAAACAAGAATTTGTTAATATGATATTGATAAGGAGAGAAGAAAGAAGTTTGCCTGAGGCTGATGCTTCAACAGATGAGAAAAAAATGATTCCAAAAGAGTTGCACAATATGTACAATTAGAAAATTTTAGTTACTAGGCCTTTTGTATATTTGATGTAAAAATGATATTATTTGCTCTTTTAAGAAGAGATGATTATAAATTTAGAATTGAGGGTAAAAAGAAGCCTTGGTATTGCCTTTTCCACATGGTACTTAATTTATTGTGCTAAACAAAAAGTGAATGTCCTGACTGTGCCTCCATCTAAGTTAGTTTTGCTTTTTATTGTTTTTTTGCTATTTTATAACTCTTTAAGTTGTATAAAATTGATAATAGTGCAAAATGTCTTGCCCACAAAGATGCAAAATAATTGTGCCAGGTGAAATTCAATTAATCATTGTCCTGTATAGAGACCTGTTTTGTATCTATTTTATTTCAATTTTCCTTATTCCCTATGCAGATATGTTCTGCTCTTTCAATTCTCCTTTGAACTGGCTATAATATCTAACTGGTTTCTTCTATAATTAATGAATTAAATGAAATCATTTGAACATTTGTTATATCTGCATGAGAATTATGATTACACCCTTTTAAAAAATTATCTTATAAATATTTGGAGCTTCTACTGCCAATAGTCAGTGGATTCCTCTGATAGATGAATAACCTGCATGATGGAGGAGTGTTGTACCCCTGGGGGGCTTAAACCCAGACTCCCAAAGGTAAATCCCTAGTAGCACTAGAAATTTAACTCTGTGGATCTTCTGTCTCATATTTTCCTTTTGGGCTATTTTTGTGTATTGTTTTTGTCTTTGGAAATTTTAAGGTTGACAAATTATTTCCTGCTGGTGACAGCAATGATTCAGAATGTTGTGGGCTAGCCATTGTGATCTCTGTAAAAGGATTAATGGATTATAGAGATTTATTCTCCTTGTGTGATAGACAATAATCTTTTTCAAGCATTTTATTTTTATTGTTTTTTACTTGTCTGTTTTGAGCTCAAATTTAGACTCTTGTGCCCATCAGGAAACAGTAAAACTCTTTGATATATGAACTGGTGATTTTTTTTGTGTGTTTACTTCTGATATATGGCTAATACTTAGATCTGAAGTTATAAGCAGTCTTGTGTCTGTGTGTCTAGATGCATATACTTTAGAAAAACCTTTATCTCTTTTTGGATGAATGCATAATATTTTCCTCTCTCTGGAGGGTAATGAATTAGATTAAAATATCTCATAAATTAAAGAAACTCTGTTCTGATTGGCTTATAGAGTTCTTATAGAAATATGTTCTTATATAAATCAAATATTCATAAAATTCCAAAAAATTAGGAAATTAAAAGTTAAATTGTGCTATACTTAATGACTCATTTTTTAAAATATATTTTTTATTGTACTTTAGGTTCTGGGGTACATGTGCAGATCATGCAGGATTGTTGCATAGGTACATAAATGGCAATGTGGTTTGCTGCTTCCATCCCCCTGTCACCTATATCTGACATTTCTCCCCATATTATCCCTCCCCAACCTCCCTATGCCCCGCTGTCCCTCCCTTAGTAACCCTCCAACAGACCCCAGTGTGTGATGCTCCCCTCCCTGTGTCCATGTGTTCTAATTGTTCAACACCCGCCTGTGAGTGAGAATATGTGTTTGATTTTCTGTTCTTGTGTCAGTTTGCTGAGAATGATGATTTCCAGATTCATCCATGCCCCTACAAAGGACACGAACTCATTTTTTATGGCTGTATAGTATTCCATGGTGTATATGTGCCACATTTTCTTTGTCTAGTCTATCATCGATGGGCATTTGGGTTGGTTCCAGGTGTTTGCAGTAAACACTGCCGCAATGAACATACATGTGTGTGTGTCTTTATAATAGAATGATTTATAACCCTTTGGGTATATAAGAACATCCTTTCTCCTTCTTCTTAAGAAATTTGTAATGTATATAAATTTAGTAGAATCTACTTTATAAAATGAAATGAAGCATTTGAAAATGATATCTGATTTTCATTTATTCCTCTAGGACTCAGAAATTATTATTGTCTTTTTACTTACTGTGGCCATTTAGTAATCTGCATCAGTTCAGTGAGAACCTGTTATCTTTTTACCAGAGGTAATTGTACAGATTATAAGACCAAAGCCTTCTCTGTAATGTCACATTTGAAAACAATGTTTGCTGAATCATATAGAAACAGCTACTTTTAAGGAATTAAGTTTGATTTGACTTATGGAGGTAGTATTTACAGAGACCTTCCAGAAAAACTGGTCTACTTCTTGGCTTTAATGGTCAAGAATATTGTATACTACGTATAACTTAAGATATTTTGAGACTTTTAAAAGAGACTAATTTACCCAAAGTTATAGGTTTTATAGGTGAAATCTTGTGGACAGAGTTTCTTGGATTTAGTTTTCAAGCATCAGGATGACCATTAATAGAGGGCTTTAGAAGTCCAATTTGAGATTTCTTGTATTTCTTCAAAATTGTATAGCCTTAGAATTTACAACTCAAACTCATGGTGACCTATATGGTAAAATAACACTTTTGCTAAACCTATATAAACAGTAAGGCAAACCTAATAAGACTAGCTACATTTTATGATCAAGAATAATAACCTTTCCAAAATTATTACGATAAAAAGAGGGAAGGAGACAGACTGCCAGGGAAACTTGTAAGAAACTTTGAAATGAGCAAAAAAATCAAACAGTGGGTATCTTAACTACTCATTTAGCCTTTCTCATTTATGATCTATATTACAATTCTGCAAATTGTAGAGATCTGACAATAATTCAAATAATTTTTGCATTGATTTTTACAGACCCTTTTAAATTTATGTGTAAATATTTTAAAATCTGTTAATTCACTTTTATGTCTCTGCTCTTTGAATTCTCTGGAACCAGTTGTAATACCTTACTGGACTCTCATTAATTAATTAATGAGTTAAAAATCTTTGCCAAATGTTTACTTTATATCTGTATGAGAATGATGCTTCTATCTTCTTTTAAAAATTGTTTCTCAATAATGTATAAAAAGAGTGCTAAAAGTAGTCACACATACACAACAGTAACAGCAAACAATGTAACTGGCTGAGAAAATTCAGCACTTAGGAAGCTCTGCCTTCACATTCATGGCACTATAAGGAGCTGTGAAAATATTACTTACTGACTGAAGCCATTACTGCGTCCCAGGAGAGACAGCACTCCAAGACAAGTATAAAATATGGGTAAAACAAGACATTGGAGTAAGACCAACAGTAAAAAGTTACTGAAAAATATTAATTGGTGGAACGAAATGAGAAGATTCTAATCTTATTCTACCAAATCCCAGAAGAATTACAGATTTAAATGTATCAAAAGAATCATCAATTTAGAGCAAAATATACCCAAATATTTTTCTGGTTGTTGTAGAACAATCTTTTTAAATATAGAAGCAATCAGAAAGAGAAATCAATAGTTAGGACCATAAAAAAATTTGAAATTTAAAATTTTGCATGCCAAAAAATTTGTAAACTTTAAAAGATATATAAATTGTGGTATGTCACCAAAAATATGATAGCCAAAAGTTTTCTACCCTCTATACATAGAATACTTTAAAATTTATTTTAAAATTCCGTCTAAAACCCTACAGGAAAGTAGGTAGAAGGCAATAACAATTCTAGAAAAAAGGAGATTGGGAATGGTGGCTCAAGCTTGTAATCTCATTAATTTGGGCAGCCAAAGTAGGAGGATTGCTTGAGGCCAAAAGTTGGAGACCAGCCCGGGCAACCTACTGTCTCTAAAACCAACCAACAAACAAACAAAAATGAAAAAAACAAACCCAAAACACTTAGGCATGGAGATTAGTGCTTGTGGTCCCAGCTATGCCAGAGGCTGGGGAGGGGGGATGTGCTGGGTTGGAAGTGGGATCATTTGAGCCCAAGAATTCTAGGCTACAGTGAGTTATGATTGTGCCACTGCACTCCAGACTGTGACAGAGCAAGACTCTGTCTCTAAAATAAATATATAAATAAGAAATATTATATGCTAGCATGCATATAAAAGAAATGTTCATTTCCAATAGTAATAAAAAATGCAAATCAAAATGACTCCAAACAAATTTGGACTGCGAAATTAACAAAATTAAGAAGTGTGCAAAATAAAGAGGACATGGGAAACGGGAAATTTTGAACAGCCCAGATATAATTGTAAATTGACATGGTCTAACTGCAAAGCAATTTGACAACATGTATCTAAAGCTTTACAAAATACATACATTTTGACCAAGCAGTTTCCATTTTAGAAATCTGTCCTAAGTGGGGGTAAAATCAGAAACCTGATTGTAGAAAGCTGTTAATTAAACTGAAGGGAAAGCAGAAACCAAACTAAA